AGGAGATATGAAGGATTGCTGAGCTAATGAAGAAGAAATGTCACAACAATTTTGGATAGCAAGTTTGGGCGTAGAAAAATACAAAATAGCAAAAAATATCAAGCTGCCATATTGTCCAGCCACACGTGTTACACTGTCATGCTGTCACTTTTAGGACCACTTGCCGCCTGCCCTTTCTATTAACGTGAAGTGCATGAATAGTAGGGTACAAAGGGAATTTTTGGGCCCAAAACACTAGAAAATTCCCTATTATAAATACCTAAAGGTACCATATATTTAAGAGAACTTTTGAGAGGTGACCTAAGAGAGAAGGGTGAAAGGCGACTGTACCAAACTTTCATTTTTCTTTATTCTTCAACCTTTTTCATGGTGTCTTCCATAATCGAGCTTCGAAGGAGTAGCAGCTAGGACCTTGAGAGAGACTGGCTCGCTAAAGTGGTTCATGGTGGTGGTTCTAAATGTCATGGCAACAGATCATTTGGGATTTTTCTTCTCCTTATTCTTTTATTTCTTTATTTGATATGGGTTTTTACTTAGTGTTGATGATGGATGAACTTAGCTACGCCATGAACTAATTTATTTGGAATTGGATTTACCTTGAACTATTTTTATTTTGTGTTAATGAATAGTTGACTTTTTATATTTAAATTTTGTTTTGCTCATTGTTTATACTTTAAATACTTAGTATTGTAAGAGCTTCGAGAGTTAGTCATTTACTAAGTATAAGTGCTTAATATCAAGAGGTTAGGCTAGATCGACATGAGTAATGTAACTAAATCAAGATGGTGAAGTTCTAATCCTCCTTACATATAAGAAGAAGGTTTCAAATGACTGCAAGGGGTAGGACATAATCGATGGGATTGTGTTGTAGTTTACACTGAGAGGTATTGTCATAACAATTTTCTGTCAGGTTCTTTACAAGAGTTAGCCTAGGAGCACTATTAGTAAAACCTGTTGAGCAGCGTACTCATATGAAGCTTAAACCATTCTACACACAGAATATTAAATGACATAGAAAATCCAACCATTTACCCTTATAGAAGCTTGATTGTGATAGGTTTTCAAGTCTTATTTCATTCTCTGAAGTTCAATTATCTTTTTCTACAACATTGTTTTACAATTTACTTCAGAACTTCACTTAAACTTTTGCTACAACATTTATATTCTTACACTCTTTGCATATACATTTTTTTCCACAATATTTTATTCACTTGTTTATACCATCACACAAATATATATATTTACATAGATTTACTTAGTGACACTTTTGACCAATAACTTACTATTAAATACCATAAATCCATGTGGAGATGATACTCACTTACTACTATATTACTTGTTCAATTGTGTAAGCTTGTACATATTTATGTATCATAGCATAGTACATCAGACACGCAACAAGTTTTTGGTATCGTTGTCGAGATTAGCAATTAGAGATTTTAGGTTTAGCTATAGCATAAGTTTCTGTTTATTTTATTGTTTTACTTGTTATTTTATTTATTTCTTTTTCGGTTTTTGTTGTTGCATGACCCGAAGGACTGTTAAGGAACCACTATATCCTCTAGTACCAGAGATCGAACACTTATTCCGTTAGAGACAATGTGTCAACGTGCTCCTAGAGGCATGTATGTCGTTCCAAATCAAGGAGTTCAGCAAGTTCAAGATCCTGCATATCCAAATGTTATAGAAATTTGATATAATGGACTATTACCTTGATTGAGAGTTATTCTAGATCACTTAGCTCCTATCTTGGATGTTCTCAACCTTGGAAATGTAGATCTCAAGATCCAGGCAGCCCACTTCGAGTTTAAAATAGTCATGTTCAATATGTTAAACTCGGTCAGACAGTTTGGTGGCATGCATCACGAATATGCAAGGCAACATATTTGTGCCTTCTTGGAGGTTTGTGACTCTTTCAGGCAACAAGGAGTGCATGAAGATTTGTTAGAACATAAATTGTTTCCTTATTTATTGCGTGACCAAGCAAGGGCTTGGCTTAGTGGAGTTACATCCGGTTCGATAGATTCTTGGGCTAATCTATGTAAAAGTTTTTTGTTGCGGTATAATCTGCCCAACATGAACACTCAATTAAGAAATGACATAGAATCTTTTTGTCAAGCTGATAACAATTCAATGTATGAGTGTTGTGATGATACAAAGGATTGCTTTACAACTACATCAACCATGGATTCAACGATTGGACACAAGTCGTGATGTTTTATAATGTAGTGAATGCTCCCACACGGATAATGTTATATGCTTAAGAAAATGGCACTTTGCTAGATAAGCCACCCGAAAGGCTTTCGATATCCTTAACAAGATAGCAAACAATAATTATCAATTTCACTCTTTAAGGCTAGGAATAGGGAGAAAGACTCCAAGGACGTTTGAATTAGATGCTAAAGATTCAGTGTCAACCCAATTTTTTTCTATAACAAATATATTGAAAAACTTACAAAGTTCCAACGTGGTGAAAGAAGTAAAGGTGGCCAGCTCAGCATGTGTCTTATGTCGTGGCAATCACCATAAAATGAATGCCCTAACAATAAAGAGTTTATCAATTACATGGGAAATTTCAATTGAGGCAACAACAACCCCCACTCCAACACTTAAAACCCAGGATGGCGTCAGCATCCTAATTTTTCAAAGGGTAATAAAGGAGTAACTAATTTCAGTAACTCGAATAGGCTGCAACAAAATCTTACTAAACTTTCAGGCTTTCAACAACAAAAATCTATTGGCAAAATATCAACAAAGGTTCAACATCTTCATCAATTGCTAACTCTCTTTAAAGTTACTCTTTATGATTTCATGGCTACCATGAAAGCCTTACTGCATGATCACTCAACAACTATTAAGATCCATGGAATATTATTGCAGAACCAAGCAACATTGATACAAAGTCATAGCTCGTCTTTGAGAGCATTAGAGAAACAAATGGGCCAAATAGTTATAACATTACATGCTCGACCACAAGGCAGTCTCCTAAGTGATACTGAAGTCACTAAGTCTCATTTAAAGGAGTAATGCATTGCACTCACACTAAGGAGTGGTACCTAACTTAATCAAGGAGATACGTTTGAGGGGAGAAGGTAGATGGTCTATGCCCCAATATTGTGCAAGAAGAACTTGAGGTACAAGAAGAATGACATATAGAGAAAAAAAGGATGAGGGTGTAACAAGTAATTCTACTAAGGGAGGACAGAAGAATGCGACAACAACTTTTGTTCCCCCACATGCAGTGAAAGAAGTCAGACCCCCACCACCCTTCCCTCAAAGACTGAATAAGCATAATGATGACATTTAGTTCAAGAAGTTTGTTGACATCTTTGACCAGTTATATATTAGTTTCCCACTCCTGAAGGCCATTGATCAGATGCCTACATATGCTAAGTTTCTCAAGAAAATTGTCACAAAGAAGAGGAAGGTTAAGAAATATGAAACAGTCTCTACAACAAAAGAATATTGTTCTACGTTGAGTAAACTTCTAGCAAAGTCAAAAGATCCTAGCAACTTAATTATTCCATGTTCTATCGATGATAAATATGTGAGAAGAGCCATATGTGATCTTGGGTTGAGTGTGAATTTGATGCCCAAATTCATGTTCTTGAAGCTTGGGATGGGCAATGCCAGACCGACCACATTGACCTTACAATTAACTGGCCGATCCCATGTTCGTTCCAAGTGAATAATTGAATATGTCATAGTAAAGGTGGACATGTTTGTATTTCCAACTAATTTTCTCATCTTTGATAACGAGGCTGACGACAATGGGGCCATCATTCTGGGGAGACCCTTTCTAGTTATATGTCGCATTCTCATTGATTGCAAGAATGGAGAGTTCACCAAGAGAGTGGCTAATAAAAGTGTAACCATCAATGTCTTTAACACACTCAAATATGAAAATTATTTAGAGGAATGCCAATGTGTGTTAGACATGGACTCGATGGCAGATAAAAAAGCCATAAGATTTAACTACATCAATTTTTACAACTTAAAGACTATGAGTGGCTCAATGAAGAGGAAGGTGTTGAGGAGTTCAAGGATTTTTAAATAGAGGTACAATAGACTACCTTGCTAGTAGCTAGACCATGTACACCATTTGAACCTCTAGACTTTGGTGAATTTATTCCTCTAAAACCTTTGCTACATCGTGTACCTACCTTGATGCTTAAGCCTTTGCCATCGCATCTTAAATATGTTTATCTAGGTAGTGATTAAACTTTTCTTGTAATAATATTTGTTGGTCTAACACTTGAGCAAGAACATAGTTTGATAAATGTCTTAGCACGACATAAGAAGGCTATAGGTTGGACTATGTCTAACTTGAAGGGAATAAGACATACCATATACATGTACAAGCTCCTTCTCAATGAATGCCATAACAAATTTGTTGAACCCCAACGAAGACATAACCATGTAATGAAGAAAGTGGTAATGAAGAAAATCATAAAGTGGCTCGATGTTGGTGTAATATATCCTATATCTAACAGTTAATGGGTAAGCGCAGTGCAATATGTACCTAAGAAATGAGCCATGACTATGGTGATCAACGAGGATAATGAACTCTTACTTCCAAGGACCATCACACATTGGAGGATTTGTATGGACTACCGAAAGCTTAATAAGGGATGAAGAAATACCATTTCTCCTTCCCATTCATCGATCAAATGCTGGATCGATTGGAGGGTAAGTCCTTTTATTACTTTCTCGATGGATACTCAGGGTACAATCAGATTGCTATAGCACTAGAAGATCAAGATAATACAACCTTTACTTGCCCATATGGCACCAATGCCTTTAGAAGAATGTCATTCAGACTTTGTAATGCTCCAACAACTTTCCAAAGGTGTATGTTAGCCATCTTTTCAGACATGGTGAAAGACTTCTTGGAAATCTTTATGGATGACTTATCCGTATGGGGTAATGATTTTGAAAAATGCTTTGTCAATCTAGCTAAAATGCTGAAGCGTGAAGAAGCCAACCTAGTACTGAACTAGAAAAAGTGTCACTTTATGGTGATCAAACGTATTGTTCTAGGACATAAAATTTCACACAAGGGAATAAAGGAAAACAAGGCAAAAGTTAAAGTGATCGAGAAACTGCCTCCACCCACCACTGTGAGGGTATAAGAAGCTTCTTAAGGTATGTAGGGATCTATAAGAGGTTCATTAAAGACTTCTCCAATATTTCCAAGCCTCTGTGTCTTTTGCTACAAAAAAAATAGCCCTTCTTGTTTGACAAAGATTGTTACAACCCGTTCACAGAGTAGAAAGACAGACTTGTCTTGTCACCCATAGTTGTTCCACCTCATTGTACTACTTTTAAATTAATGTGCGACGTGAGTGACTATTCCATAGGAGTAGTGATAGAGCAAAGGCAAGGTAAAATCTTTCATGTCATTTATTATGCTAGTCGTACCTTGTACAAAGCAAAAATAAACTACACAACCACTAAGAATAAATTACTTGTTGTAGTATTTGCATTTGATAAGTTTAGGACATATTTAATAGAAACTAATTTCATTGTGCATATTGATCACACAACCATTAAATAATTAGTGGACAAGAAAAATGACAAGCCTAAACTTATTATATGTATATTGTTATTTGAAGAATTTGACTTAGATATTAAAGATAGGAAATAAACTAAAAATTAGGTTGATGATCATTATCTAGGATAGAAAACATAATTGAATGCCATGACAATTTAGAAATAAACGAGGGATTCCCTAACGAGAAAATTTTATTTGTTGTGAGAATTTCGTGGTATGCTTCCATATTCAACTTTATTGTTAGTGGAGTTTTGCCTCCTGATTTAAATAGCCAAGTCAAAAGGAAGTCTATGCATGATGTGCGACACTACCAATGGGATGAGCCTTATTTATTCAAGCAATGTGTTGATCAAGTGATTAGAAGGTCTGTCCCTAAAAAGAGCAAATAGGGATTCTATTCCATTTCCATAGCGCCCCATGTAGAGGCCATTTTGGTGGTGTTAGGACTGCTGCAAAAGTGCTACAGTCTTGATTCTATTGGCCCATGCTTTTTAAAGATGCACATGACTTCTACAAGGTGTGTGATAGATGCCAAGATACTGGGAACATTTGCAAAATATTTTAGAGGTAGAGCTCTTCGATGTGTGGGGAATAGATTTCATGGGACATTTCCCATATTCCTTTTGTAACCTTTACATACTCCTAGCAGTGTTCTATGTGTACAAATGGGATGAGGACGTGTTGACACCAAAAAATGACTATAAGATCATGCTCAAGTTCTTTCACAAGAACATCTTCACGTGATTTAGAGGATCTAGAGCTGTTATAAGAGATGAAGGCACCCAATTTGATAATAAGCTAATTGCTAAAGAATTTCAGAGGTATGGGGTGCGACATAAAATTGCTACAACATATCACCCATAAACCAATGGGCAAGATGAAGTCTCCAACTACTAGAATAAGAAAATCATTGAGAAGGTGGTGAACTCTAAGAGGAAATATTGGTCCTCAAAGCTTGATGCGACACTTTGAGCATATCGCACAACATTTAAAACTCTACCTGGGATGTCACCCTTCAATCTGGTCTATAGAAAAGCATGTGGTCTTCCCGTAGAGCTGGAGCATAAAGCTTACTAGGCAATCAAGAAGCTCAACATATATTCCAATCTAGCTGGTGAAAGAAGGTTGCTGGAGAATACCAAATGTTGGCATCATAAAAATCTTTTTCAGCGGTATTTTCATGAAGACCAACAAGTTCTCCTATATAACTCTAGACTGAAGCTCTTCCACCGCAAGCTTAAGTCCCGATGGTATAAACCCTTCAAATTACATCATGTATACCCCATGGAGCCGTGGACATAAAGAACCTGGATGATGGTGCAATCTTTAAAGCCAATGGCCAACGCCTGAAAGTCTATACTGGAGCTCCTATTCTACGAGACAAGCCGACCCTTCTCCACGATGCTTGATAGATTAAACCTTTTATCTTTTCTTTTTGCTACAATATTTTTTTGTAATTTGTACATAAATAAATTATTTTATTTTACCCATTGCGTGTATCAGTTTTTAGTCCTTTTAGCTTTTATTTATTTTAACAAATTTCTTTAATTTTCTTGTGACAGGTGGTAGTTTGGGGGAAGCTTGAAAAGTTGAAACAAAAACCCTTATTCTTTAAGGGTTTAGGCGGCAAAAAGAGGGAAAAGTTACTTTTCACTTTTTATTTTTTCAAATCATCCACTCAATTTTTTTATTATTTCTTTCCTTTCTCTCTCTCACTTTTACATTAACTCCCCATTATTTTCCCTTTCCTAAAACCCTTCCATCACATCATCTTTCACTTTCCATTACATAACCGTCAGCCTCTTTCTTTATTTTCATCTTAACTTTTATTTTTCTTCGACTTTTTCTTTATCCCTTCTCATTCTCTACTAAAATCTTCCAAAGCCACCATATCCAAGATTTCTTTCATTCTTTGTTTTCTTTGTGTTATAGCAAGTATGAATGCTACAAGAATGCTTCGATGTTCCGTCCTCTTCCTAAAGATCAAGGCAAGCTCTCACACAAAAAAATTGAAGATGAAACGACGAGGGAGAGATTTTAAAAAAATAAAGGAATGAAGGTTTATCTAGAGCAAGGATTAGTTTTTCTGGTTGAAGATGATGAATAAGGCTTTGACTTTGAAGTCAGGGATGTCTTGGCAAAGCATAAGTGGCAGAGGTTCGCCAAGCATCTAGGTGATATTGCCCTAGCGATGGTGAGAGAGTTCTACACTCACCTCACTAATCCATCGAAACATGTCATCTTCATGCGTGGTGATAAGATTTGGTTCACCCTAACTTCTATAACCATGTTTTTTAAGCTTGAGAACATCACCAACTGCCATGTAAAGTATGTTGCTGAAGACAACACCGAAACATATATGGAATCTTAGAGGCTCTTTGCTTCCAAGGCATTCAATGGAAGGGAGACACACTGAGTAAGCTGAATGTGGAATGGCAATGCCTCAAACCCCAAGCCAAGGTATGGAATCATTTTTTAAGACTAGACTAATACCATCTTCACACCGCACAATTGTTTCACCGCCGCGGATGCTTCTCCTACACTCTATCATTGTGGGGTGTCCGATCAATATGAGAGAGGTAATTTCCAAGCAAGTTTATGAGTGTTTCAAATGAAAGAATGACACTTTGATTTTTCCCAACTTGATCAATGCCTTATGCTAAAAGAAGAAGGTGGTCGAATAAATGTTTGAAGAGATAATTCCGAGCAAGGCTGGAATAGTCAAGGAAAAGATCATCGAGCTTATGGACTTTGATGAAGATGACCCTAAGGAAACTCTTGAGAGGGGCACAAAAATAATTGCCATAGAAAGACTGGTGGTTGTAGTGGCATCTTCATGGTATACTAAGGAGCGAGTAGAGCACCTGGAGAGCCATACGCATAACTTCTTCACCTATGTGAAGAGGGGACTTACCTAGAAATTTTCTAACTTTGTTAAACATATAATGGATACAGTCACACACATACACATGCAAAGGATCTTGTTTTAAGGAAACGTTCTTGATATCTTGACCTATCTAGCATGTTGAAGCCAATTGTTTCTAAGGGCTGAAATTTTATCCTATATTACTACCTTAACTCAATGTTTTCCATATCATTCTTTTCTATTGATTATTATTCATTTCTTGAAAGCAATAAATAAATTAAGTCTAGGGGAGTGATAACCCAGTAAAAGGATATATTTTTTGCCTTTTTATTTAGGTTATCGGTTGTTTAAAAGTTCAAGTCATAGCATTTAGTTACATTTAGCTCATATAATTGAATGTGGTGGAAATGTTTTGTTGCATCATATTTTTAATGCCAAAACTGATTTTGTTGAAATGAAAGGTCTTGTTTTGTGCGTGTTGTGTAGGTGAAGAAAGAAAAGGAGAAACTGTGGTTTTTGTAGCATTCTGGATAAGAAGATCTGAAGAACTGTTGAACTGATGAAGAAAAAATATTGTAGTAATTTTGGATAACAAGTTTGGGCGCAGAAAAAGATAAAATATTAAAAATATCAAGCTGTCATGTTATCAAGACACACGTGATATGTTGTCATGCTACCACTTTTTGGACCACTTGCCAGCTTGCCCCTTCTATTCACGTGAAGAGTATGAATCCTAGGGTACAAAGGGAATTTTTGGGCCTAAAGCACTAGAAAATTCCCTACTATAAATACCTAAAGGTACCCTACATTTAAAAGAACTTTTGAGAGGTGACTTAAGGGAAAATGGCGAAAGAAGGTTGCACCAAACTTCCATTTTATTCATTCTTCAACCTTTTTCGTAGTGTCCTCTATAGTTGAGCTTCGAAGGGGCAGCAGCTAGGACCTTGAGAGAGGCTAGCTCGCTAAGGTGGTTCACAGCGATGGTTCTAAGTGTCGCGACAGCAGCTCATTTGGGAATTTTCTTCTCATTGTGTATTTATTTATTTATTTGATATGGGTTTGAACTTAACATTGATTATGGATGAACTTAGCCATGCCATAAACTAATCTATTTGGCGTTGGGTTTCCCTTGAATGATTTTTATTTTGTGTTAATGAATGGTTTAATGTTTTTATGTTTAAATGTTATTTTGCTCATTGTTTATATTTCAAATGCTTAGTATTGTGAGAGCTTTCAAGAGTTAGTCATTTACTAAGTATAGATGCTTAAGATCAAGAGAGTTAGGCTAGATCGACGTGAGTAATATAATTAAACTGGGATGGCGAGGTTTTAATCCACCTTACAGATAATGAAAGGGTTTCAAATAACTAAAAGAAGTAGGATGTAATCGATAGGATTGTGCTTTAGTTTACACTAAGAGGTATTATCGTAGCATTTTTCTATCAGGTGCCTTACTAGATATAGCCTAAGAGCACTATTTGTAAACCCTATCGAGCAGCATACTCATAAGAATCATAAACCATTCTAGACACATAATATTAATTGGCATAGCGACTCTATCCATTTACCCCTATAAAAGCTTGATTGTGTGAGGTTGTCAAGCCTTATTTCATTCTCTGAAGTTCAATTATCTTTTTCTACAACATTCTTTTACAATTTACTTCAGAACTTCACTAAAACTTTTGCTACAACATTTTGATTCTCACACTCCTTGCACATACCATTTTTTGCCACAACATTTTATTCACTTGTCTATACCATCATACACACACACACACACACACACACACAGATTTACTTAGTGACACTTTTGTGCTATAACTTACTTTTAAATCCCACCAATCCTTGTGAAAACAATACTCGCTCACTGCTATATTACTTGTTTGATTGTATATATTTTTACATATTTACGTGTCATAACATAGTACATCACACATGCAACACTACCTTCACATGTTGTCTACCAATACATGGTTTAGTAGATCCTATGCAAACATGATCTCTACTCTCATGCTTCAATTTGACAAGTAAAACCTAACTGTATATTTTCTATTTCTCATACTTTATTCTATGAAATTATAAGAGCAAGAGTTAGAGTCATTTCCCTTTTTGTGTACCTACTTAAGTTTCCCCTCATCGGACAAAGGTTCGACGTGACTCTACATAGGGTGAGTTCTCATAATTTATTACATATAGGGTTTTTTTTATAGAGAAAAAATGTACTTGAATTGTTCTTATTGATGACCCTTTGAGAGAGTTAGACCCTCGATCCTCATCCATTATAGGCTAAAACATACTAAGTTTAATTCGAGAGGATACATTCCCCTATGCCCATATGAAGAAACATATCAAACAAAGGCATAAGATATATATACCCAAAAAGTTACTCACTAGGCCCATACTAGGAAACAAATCCTACGAAGGCATTGCTTTCACCCCTATTTAAAAAGAACGAAGCTCATGTATATAGCTTATAGAATGCAAATGCATGAGAAGTATGTGAGGGGAAACTTGCAAACCCTTGAAAACAAGTACAACAATCATCTCAAACCATATTCAAAACTTTTATAAATTTGGATCCAATGAACTAAAAAATCAGTACATTTATTTACGAATAAATCAAATTATAAATGAAAACAAACTTCATTTGAACGTACAAATAATAAAAAATTATATTAATCCAAATTCATAATTTTCATTGCGAAGACAACAACTAATCGATTAATGGTCTGATTCTCTAAATGTCCCCAGTGGAGTTGCCAAACTATCAAAACAATCCTTA